TGGAGGGGCTCCGGGCCACAGACCTCGGTCCACCTTTGCTGGCCTGGCCTGCGCTTTTCTGTGAGCTCACACACACGGGCCAGGGCCTCTAGCAGAGCTGGTGAGTGGGGACGTGGGAGCAGGTTTCCCAGCAAGTACAGGACCACCAAGGCAGACCAGCCTGGGGAGGGGGCGGCAGGGATCCAGGAACTCATTGAGCTTGTGTTTGTGCACAAATGCCCCCAGGGAGAGGGAGACCCTGGGAAGTGAGGGGGCTGCCCAGGTCAGGCAGCAGCTGCTGGGAGCACCACCCAGCACCCTGGAGTCTGCAGACCTGCCTCAGCCCGCCAGGCAGCCCCGCCTCTGCAGCAGACCCACCCGGTGGCCTGGCCCTCTGGACTCTGTCCTGGCCCCACCTGAACCAGGAGGACTCTGACTGTCCCTGATCGCCTGCCCTGGGCTGGGCCCGGTGCGTTCCTTCCCTGGGTGGGGCCGCCCCACTGGGTGGACTGTGGGGAAGGAGGCAGGCCCTTTCTTGCTGAGTGCAGCAGCGTGAGTAGGAATGTGGCTGCACGCTCAGAGAGCAGCAGGCATAGCCGTGGAAGGCCTTGGCCAGAGCCTGGGGAGGGCCCCACACTGCTGTCTCCCTAAGACTTCACCCTCCCAGAGCGCCTGCACTCCTCACCTGTAAAATTCAGATAGCTGTGAGGATTAACTAAGATAATGCTCAGGAAGTGGGCAGCACCACGCCTCCCAGGAGGCCAAGTGGCAGCTGGTAGGGTCCAGCCCTGGCCCTGCTGCCTGCTTGCTGTGTCGCTGTAACCAAGTGCCCTGTCTGTGGTCCTGAGGACTCAGCGTGTCTCTCCAGCCCACAGGGCTTGCGTGCTAGGAAGCCAGAGGTGTAGCGAAGGGGGAAGAACCTGGAGACAAACATGTCAGGTTTGCTTTTTGAAGCTACCGTAACTCGGCCCTACTAAATGCCTCCTCAAGTACAGCACTTGTATTTATTTAGCTCTGGGGTCTGCGACCCGGACCCCTCAGGCCTTGGCCATAATAGCCAGCTATATAATATGCAGGACCCGAAGTGAAATGAAAACACAGGGCCTCTTGCTCATAAATTATGAATGACTTCAGCCCCATGGCAGGGAGCATTAAGGCGGCCCCTCAAGCATGGGGCTTGGAGCCAGCCTGCCTGCACGGTGGGAGGAGGCCTGGCCTCTGACTGCTCCTGTGCCCCCAGAACCCGGCCTCCAGGATGAGGGCACCGTGCCTTCCTGCCGTGCACAGGGAGGAGGCAGGCTGGCTGCGGCAGCCCATGCTGACACCGACAGGCTTCCCAGAGCTGCGCGTGTGAGAAGCAGCCCACGTGGTTTTTAAGTCTTTTCTTCCCTTGTATCTCAGGATGTCTGAGACTGGGTAATTTATAAAGAAAAGAAGTTTACTATTTAGCAGGACTGGGGATATGGGGATAGAGCCCAGGATTGCATGCGTGCTAGGCAAGCACTCCTACTTGAGCTGCTTACCCAGGCCTTGCTAACATTTTATTTTGAGCTAAGGCCTTACTAAGTAGCCCAGAGTGGCCTTGTGCTAGAATCCTCCTGCCTCAGCCTCCCATAGCCGGGATTGGAGGTGTGTGCAGTCGTGCCTGACCAGAGGTCTGTTTGAGTTCGAGGCTCCAGAGGCTTGGTCCAAGATGAGGCAGCCTCCTGTAGGAAATGGGTGGGGCGGGGAGCAAGCCCTGACCCCCACAGTGGCTAAGCCAGCCTGAGGAAAGGCCCTCAGCCCCTCTTCTGGTGAAGGCCCCGCCTCCCAGCACCACCTACAGGTGACGGAGAACCAGAAACCGCAGCACAGCGTAGCAGTGTGCAGCTTAGCAAGGCAGCTGCGCCGCGCCTGCCGTGCCTGCTGCGCCTGGATTGGGCTCGGGCTTCGGCTGCTTCTCTTCCATCCCAGCCTAGCTCGTCCCAGTGATGCTCACATCGCTCTTGCTGCTGTCCTCAGCATGTTGCCAGCCAGGAGGGGCAGTTGCACCAGCCACATGGGTCCTGAGGAAAGGACCCCAACCTGGCCCTGGTCTCCCATAGCTTTTCCATCACAACTATCCCTATCCTGTCCCCAAGGCCTGATTCCTTTCACAGGCAGTAGATGCTGCCTCCCCAAGACCCCAGTCTCTGTCATCCTTGCCCTAGCCTGTGCCGCGGTGCTGGCGGAGCCCTCCATCTCTCTGGAAGCGGTCTCAATAAACCCAGCCTGCTCCAGTGGTTTTCCCTGGGAAAGGTGTGTCTTCCTCTGGAAAGACTCACTTCGGCTGCCATGCGCTTGTGTGAGGGAGATGCCAGGTTTTAGCTGGGGATGTGGACCATTAAACAGCTGCCTTGGAGCGGTGAGCTTGCAGGCCAGTCAGGCCCTTGCCCAGGCTCACATAGCTAGGGACCAGCAGGACTGGGTTACAGACTCGGCTCCGACGCCCTATTCTCAGGGGCCCGGGTTCTTTGTCCTTAGAGGGGGCTGGGCAGGAGTCCAGGGGAGGGCAGGAAGCAGACAGCTGTCCTTCGCCCCTCACGCCCTCACCCCCTCTGCATGGCCTAACCATCTCCATTTCTCCAGCCCGTGGGCAGCGAGCGGCCTGGTCTGCCCCCTGGCCAGGGGACAGCATGGTAAAGGGTCTGTTCCACCCAGGAGGGGGCATGCTTGGGTGGCCTGAAGATGGGACTCCAGAGTAGAAGAGTTTTGGGTGATCACAGTGGAACTGGATTAATTCTGTATACTCAGGGACTGAGAAATCATGCTTTAGAAAGACTTAGACCTGGGGCGATAGCTCAGTGTCACAAGTGCATGCCTGCTGAGTGCAAGGCCCTGAGTTCGATCCCCGTTACTGCAAAAAAAAAAAAAAAAAAAAAAGAGAGAGAAGCAGGCTTTTCTCTGGTCAGCCTCCCATTTTCCTTTGGGAACAGACAGGCCTGCCTGCTGATGGTAGGTGAAGGGGGCAGGCATGCACCCATACTGTCTGTCTAATGATCCTGTCTAGGCCACACCTTTGTTTCTATAAATAAAGTTTTATTGGAACACAGCACACGGTTGCTTTCCGTGAGGTCTGTGGCTGCATCTACGCTGCCCCAGCAGAGCTGGGTGATCTCCGCAGAGGCCCCCTCAGCCTGGAGCGCACTCTCCTGTGCCTTAACACTTCTGTCCCAGCAGAACAGGACTTCCCGGGCTTTCCAGGTCAGACAGGTGCCTACTGTTGGCTCAATGAAAGAGGTTCACCTTTTCCAAAACATTTCTGATGAAAACCCAAGAAGAACCCCCAAAAGAAGCTGTACAGATAAAAGCCTGGGGTGGAGGAAGACCCCAGGGTGGGCGGGGCAGACACTAGCCTGCCCAGGGCGCAGCTTGGCCACTTGGCCACGTCTCTGGGGACAGCAGTAGACTTTGGAAGCTAGCAAGATGTGGGCACCAGGCCGGAGAGCTCCTGATTTTGTATCCTTGGCCACAGGAGCTCAGAGACCAGAGGGAGGTCCTTCCAAGCCCCGGACATCCAGCCCAGATGCACCACACCTGCCGCCCCAGGCCTGTGGCTGCAAGGCTTTGTGAGAGCCTCTGACCTCTGGCCAGCTCAGCTCGACTCTGTGCCCCGCAGTCACCTTCTCCACCCTGGACCTCTCCACCCGAGCCCCGCTGTGCCGGCTCACAGTGAGCTCTGAGGTCCGGAGGCTGGCTCCTCGGGCTCCACAGGCGGCAGCGTGCAGTTGGGCGGCGCCTTGCTTAGCAGGGGAGAGTGTGGGGTGCTTTATGTGGTGACAGTGAAGTTTTATTGCCTGAAGCCTGTGTCCCTGCAAGGCTTGGGTAGGCTGCTGGCTGCTGGCTGCTTAGCCTGGAGCCAGTCTCGGGTTTTTGTTTTCTTTGTTTTGTTTTATGTTTTTGTCTTGCCAGTTCAGGATGATTTTGAACTGGCTTTGTAGCCCAAGTTGGCCTTGAACTCACAAAAGGATAGTCCTATCTCAGCCGCCCAAGTGTAGGGATGCCAGGTGTGTGCCAGCCACACCCAGCTTGGCCAAGTGTCTTAACCTCTTGAGCTCAGTTTCAGAATGGAAGGAAGCTTCCAGGTTGACTGTGAAAGAAGCCCCCATGCATGGACTCGGGTTGTGTGCTGCTGCCTGCTGCGCTTGCCCATAAAGGGGTGCAGTGGTCCTCCTGGGGTCCAGGAGTCTGTCTCACACTGGCACCCCAGGGTGTCCTGTAGCTGCCCCATCGCAGCCAGTACTCCACCCCTTGAGACGAAGAACAGCCTGGCAGGCGTGGTGAGGACCGCCTGGCTCAGTGCCCTCAGCGGCACGCGTCCTAAGCAGATGTTGTGCTTCGGGGGTGCTTTGATTTTGCTCCTCCTCCTTGGCAGGACATTTTGACTCTTTAGCAGGTGGGGGCACCAAGGCCCAGAGCCTGGTCATAGCGATGCCACTCCTGTTGTGGGAGGCAGGTTGGAGGCTCTCCAGGGGTGCCCTTCCCCTTGACTGGGCTGTCTATCTCCCGTGGGGGAGTTGTGTGGCCACTTGGGTGAGATTAGGGCTTAGCAGATGGCACACCCAGAGACCCGGGCTTCAGGGCTCCAACCCTGGCAGTAGGGGTGCTCAGTCCAGACTGCTGAGCCTGTTGTACTCTGAGAACCCTGAGAGCCACCCAGCCTGGGGCCAGCCATGCTCATGGTCACCAAGGGGACCCCGGGTGGCCTTCTCTAGCACCATGACAGTGAAGGGGTACACTCTGGAAGGGACCGTAACAATGCTGTGTGCTGGAGAGGATCCCTGCGTCCTGACAGACACCTCATTATCCTTGCCTCAGCCTCTGTAATCACTTAGCCCACGCCCAGCAGCGGTCCCAGAGCCAGGAAATCCCTCCTCCCAGCCCCCGCCTTCCGCCCACTGCAGTCCCAGCAGCCACTTGCCAGTCGCTGTGGACTCCCACTGCCTAACTGTTCTCTCTCTGGTTCTCCTCCTGCTGCCGCCTGCTCTCGGGGGACTCGGAAGTGTGGCTTTCCAGCTGGGCTGAGTCTCCCAAGAAGGACGTGACAGGTACTGGCCGGCGTGCATGTGCGTGCATGCGCATGAGCGTGTGTCCCAGCATGCGTGGGGAGTGGTGCCTGCACTTCTTTCCACATGCTGTACTGGGAGGAGCCGCAGCCCTCTGCTGTCCCTTTCCCCTCACTGTGCCCTCGCCTGCCCAGCAAGCCCTTTCCAGCCCTCAGACCCAGCCTGGGCACCCCGTGGGATGCCTGAGGACTCCACTGGGCTGGCTGGGTGTGAGCAGATGTGTTCTGGCTGGGCATGAGGCTCCAAGTCCCAGCTCTGCCACGTCCTGGCAGTGCCATCTGGGCGTTGTACAGCCTTTCTGAGGGGACCAGTGCTACCTTGGCTCAGCAGGTAACTAGGGCTGCCCTCCTTGGTGTTGTATCGGGGGCTGACCTGGTCAGGGTGAGACTGGGCACTCCATGTCCCCGAGGCTGGTTTCTGAGAGTCCCTGGGAGCTGGGAAGTCTGGGAGAGGTGGTGATGTGAGCCTGCCTGGGTAGGGTGGCCCTCAGCTCGGGCCTTGGCTGTCTGTGCAGCGCTGGGGCCCACTCAAGGCCTTGCCATTAGTCTTTAGGCTTCTAGGACCCAGAGGGCAGGTTTTTGGGGTCCTGCAGGGAGTTGCATGGGGAGGGGGTGTCCAGGATGGTCCTGCAGGGCCCCTTCAGTTCTGAGAGCAGAGACCTGGACTAGTTGGGGAGCAGGGCAGAGGGGTCAGGGTCAAGCGGGCTGGGCTACCCCAGGAGTTAGAGGCTCAGCCCCTCCCGCACAGTTGCTGGCAGAGGATGGAGGCAAGTCTGTACCGACCCGGGAGAGGGGCCAGGAGGAAAGAGCAGCTGGCGAGGGGCAGGGGGCATCCCCCGTGGCCCTCCTCCTGGGGCACTGGTGAGGGCCCAGCCAAACTGATCAGTGGGCCCTGGTCCCTTTTCCCCTCTGCACAGGCCAGGGAGCGGGAGCCCACTTGGCCCACAGCAATTCATTTTATCCACCCAGCGTATAGCTGAGAGGCCGGCAGGCCCAGCGTGGTCCGGAGGGACCCATGTGAGGGGTTGCAGGGCCCTTGGTGCGGTGTCCAGGCCTGGAGGGTGGCGGGAGCTTTGGGCAGAGACTACCGTGGGGTCAGGGGCAGCTAGGGGTCCTTCTCAAAGCCAGAGATCCCAGGGAGATGGTCAGGCCCGTGTGTGTGGCGGGGCAGACCCGGGAGTCCAGAGCCAGCATCCCAAGCAGGTCACCGTGCCCCCTGGGCCTCAGCTTCCCATCTGAAATCTTGAAGAATTGGATACGACAGGCAACCTGGAAGGGCTGGGCTGATAGCAGGGATTGGAGAGACACAGGCCTCTGGCTGCTTAGCCTGATGTGTGCCCCAGAGCAGCCCAGGAGCTCTGATCTGCCTCTCCCCTGGCGAGTGCCTGGCAAGGCCTGGCAGAGAGGTGGGCACAGCCCCGGCCTCCTTCCCCAGCCTGTGGCCCCTGCTCCGAGCAGCCCTGCTGCAAGGCCTTGGGAGCCGACACTTCTCCAGCTCCTCCTGAAGCCTGCTGTTCCGTATACCTGATGTGTGAACGGCTGCCTGAAGATCACTCGGGGCCTTTGGCCCATTGCTTCACTCCACACTCAGAATGGCACCCACAACACTGTCCCTGTCACTGAGGGCACGTGAGGGCGCTAAAGCTCAGAGGCTAAGCGCCCTGCCCAGGAGCGCAGAACGAGTAGAGGAAAAGCAGGACAAGACCTCAGACCCACAGACTCTGAGCACTGGTGCCGGGCACCTCAAGTGATGGCTGTGCCTAGGCCTTGTCCGTGAGGCATCAGCACACGGCAGGCTGGCTGGGAGGCTGCACCCAGCAGGGGACAATGTGCAGGGATGGAGCAGGGGAAGCCCGCCTCCTGCGGGGCAGCTGCGCTGGGAGGGCGTTGGGACAATAGGCAGATGGGAAGGCTTCTTAGAAGAGGCGTTCAGTGCATCTGTGTGAATCATAAATGTGTGAAATGGGGGACGACAGGTCTGGGGGCTTCAGGAGCTTGGGTTGCAAGATGACAGGGGCTTGAATTTGGCCTTTGTTCTTTGGGCAGCAGGGATCCAGGGGAGGTGTTGGAGCAAGGGACTGGCTTGGCAGAGGCCTACTTTAGCAGTGTAAGTTGGCAGCCAAGATTGGGCAGGAACAGGGTTCCATCCAGGTGGTGGCCAGAGCAACACAGGTGTGAGGTGCAGGGTGGGCGGGGCCAGGGCCCCAGGAGGCCCAGCGTGGCTCTGTAGTGAAGCCCAAGGCCCGTCCCTGCACCAGGAGCAGCAGCCCTGCAGTCTAGAAGAGGTCTACCCCTCCTCCCTGCTCCTGCCAAACCCTCTGTCTGAACACATAAGGCTCCTTCCACTGCCCGCCTCCAGCAGACTCCTCCACCCCCAATTTTCCGGACCTTGGCTGGGAGTGATCCAGGGCTGCCTCTGTGGGATGACGTCACCACCTACAAGCTACCAGGCCTCTGGGCCTCCCCGAGGTTTCTCATCTGGAGACTCCTAGTGCCCGCCTGCCCTGCCCAGGGAGCCTGGAGTCCTGACACCCTGAGAGGAGATGCCAAGCTGGGAAAGGCAGCCAGGAGGGCAGCAGCATCGTTGTGGCATGCCCACCCCAGCCCTTGGAGCAGCCCTCAATCATCTGCAGCCTTCCGCACTCTGCACGCTGAAGGCCATTCTCCCCACTTTCCTACCTGTACCCAGAGTGCTGGTGGTCCTCCAAGATCTCAGCCTGGTTTTCCAGGAAGGAAGGGGTGCAGGGGGATGGAGTATGGATTTCTGCACGCAGAGGGGGCTGGCCTGACTGCCCAGCTGTTGGTTGCATTTCTGCCTGAAATACGATCCCAGCTTTGGACTACGGGCTGCCTGGCTGTGCGCTCACACCCGTGTGGCACCCCTCAGTGGCACCCCTCAGCTAGGACAGTGTCATCCCAGAGGCACTCCAGGGCTGCAGTACCTGCACAGCGTGGCAGAAAGGCAAGGGCTGTGGAGTTGTTTCCCTTCCAGGGATGGCTCCCCTTGGGGTTTCCCAGAGTTGTGGCCATCCACCACCCCCAGCTTTGGGGGACACGGAGCCTCCCCAGAAGAGGACCAGGGGTCTAAGCAGCACTTCTCACTCTGGCTGCAGCCCAGGACCATGGGCTGTGGGGCCTCAACAATGCACTTAGGTCTAGCCCCGACCAGTTTGAACTGGCTATTGGTTTGGTTTGGTGTTAAAAACAGGGTTTCCTTATATATTCCTGGATGTGCAAAGTGCTGGGTGCAGGTGGGTGCGGCCATGCCCAGCTAGCATCAGTTCTTAGAAAGCTCCTCTGCGGTTGTGTGCCATTGGTTGCGCGGATGCTGGGCAGGAAGAGCAACATGTCAGGAAGCACAGGTCAGCAGCTGGTGTCCTGTCGTGGACAGAGAGATGAGTTTGAGCCCGCAAACACAGCACGAGAATCTAGTGCACTCTGGGCCCTCTGTGGGAGCTGGGGTGCGCTCCCGCCCTCTCTGAGCCTCTGACGTGCCTGGCACCTGAGTCCGACTCGAGCACCTAGGGAACGTGGCCATGGGCCCCAGGAGCTGTGTAGAGCCTTGAGACCCGTGACCACTTCTGGGGTGAACTCCCCAGTCTTTGAGGAGACTGGTAGACATGCGGTTTCATTGGTTTTTGAGACCAAAGATCTTGCTGTGTCACCCAGGCCAGTGACCCCGCGTCCTGCACCTCTGAGCTGCTGAGGCTACAGCTGTGTCACTGTGCCCGCTGGAGGACACATAGTAATGTGTACCTCAAGCTCTCTGTGGGCTTGGGGTGGTTTGGGAAGGCTTCCTGAACGCGGTGACTTCTGGGCCCTGGCTGATGTGGTGGTTGAAGCCCATAGAAACCCACCCAGCCTGCCCAGTCCAGTCAGGAAGGCGTTCGGCCTTGCTGTCTGCCCCTGTGCATGCTAATGCCTGTCCATTGGTCCAGGGACCATAGGGGGCAGAGAAGGTGCTTGTTCCTGGGTTTCTGGGGCCCTCCCCTGCACCCCCCCCCCGCTTTTGACCCTCCAGTTTCTGAGGCCAAGGGTGCTAGAGCTTCCCCACCAGCCCCAGCCCTGCAGGGCAGAGGGAGACAGAGTTGGCACATGCAGCAAGAGGGCAGTGGATGGGCCCAGCAAGGCTTCTCTGGAATTGGGGCCAGGCCAGCCAAGGCCTGGGACCATCCTGCCTCGCCTCTAGCCTTTCCTGAGCCAGCAGTGCAGGAATGGAGCCTGGAGCCGAACTTCAGGAAAAGTTGGCGGGGGGTGGGCCTGGCAGCCAGGGCTGGCTCTGGGACTTTCTTCTTGGGTTTCAAGTAAACAGTCTGGGCCCTCCTCCCTTCCTTGCCTCCACCCCCGGCTGCTCATTCGATGGGTCTCATGTGTTTCTATTTAAGGGTTGTGAGTAAACCCCAGTGATTGGCGGCCTCAAGCCCTCTGGCCGCCTCACCGGGCCAGGGCTGTGGAGAAGGCGCTCCCTCTCCCGCCCTGAAAGGAGCAGGGCTGCCTTTCCTCTCTGGGTTTCCAGGCTCTGGTAGAGGCAGGGGCCTCCTCCTGGCCTCCTCCTCCCTCCTCCTCTCTCCCTCGTTGCTCAGCCCTCATGGGCCCTCATGGGCCAGCCGCCCGCCCCCTCGCACACTGCCTCCCTGCACACCCCTGCCGCCAGAGTCTGTAGAAACTGCTGTGGTCCCCAGCCTCTGGTCCCCCGGCTTCCGCACACCGGGCTGTAACTAGCTCAGCCCAGTGGAAGGCTCGTCCCTCCGGTTCCTCGGCCTCTGTCTCTCCTCTCTCCTCCTCCCCCTCCCTGTCCCCTGGCTCCCCATGTCCCCCGGTCCCCGCCGTGCAGCGGGCCGGTGTGGGGCCGTGCTATATGGCCTGTCCTTGGGGCCCAACGAGCTGCGAGCCCTGGCTGCGGGCAGTCCCTCGGAGCAGCATTGGCGACCGAGCAGCCTCCCACGAGGCCCATGGACAGAGGGCGCCCTGGCCGCGGGGCCGTGGCCGGCCGCTGGCTCACCGCGTGCTTTCTGCCCTCGCCAGGTGCCGACACCAACACCGAGCCCATGATCCTGGAGCAGTACGTGGTGGTCTCCAATTATAAGAAGCAGGAGAACTCGGAGCTGAGCCTCCAGGCAGGGGAGGTGGTGGATGTCATCGAGAAGAACGAAAGTGGTGAGTGCCCAGCGGCTTGGGGCTGTCCACAGGCCGGCCTTACTTGTAGGCCGCGCACAGTTTTGCTCCCCCCTCCTCCCCCACCTCTGCGGCTATACGTTATTTCCATCTGGCAGGGAGAAGCCGAGAGGCTGAGGTTCCCCCTGTTGGTTTGGGCTGCAGGCCAGCAGCTTGCCTGGTGGTGGAAGAATGTCTCCCCGGCTCAGGATAATTAACTGGTTTTTGTTAATGCAAAGGCAGGGTGGCAACCCTGGTACAAGTGCCCAGCCCTGCTCAGGGACCTGTGCCATCCACGGCCTGTGCGGAAGGTGGTTTCCGGCTAAGGGGTGCTCACCAGCACCATTCTCTCTTGGGGGAACTTCAAGCCAGTGAGGCAAGGGCAGGAGAAGCCAGCTGGCAGGGGTGGGAGGAGGCGGACCTGACGTCACCACAGGGCCCGGGGCCCCAGGTGAGTGTCTGGCTGATGTCTGGACATTCAGTTGGAATCCACTGGGATCTGGGAATGGGGCACAGATGGACAAAGCCAGGACTCAGGCCAAGGAGGGCCCTGAAGGAACCACTCTTCTTTAGGAACTGGCACAGGACTCAGCCATGCCGATGGCTCCCTGAGGGCTTCTGGGTCCCAGGTTCTTGCAGAGTGGGCCAGAGTCCCTTGGTGACACCAGTCATGACAGGTGGAGAAGGGAATGCCCGAGTCAGGCAGCCAGTCTGCGGCCCCTGCAAGACACGATGGGCCCTCGATGCAGGACCCCAGTCATGGCCAGTGGCTTGCCTGCAGCCTCCTAGGAGGTTCTGTACTTGACTCCTGGTGTGTGGTTTTGCTTTCGGTTTATTTGCTGGGGCCACCCCTGTGTGCAGGAGCTTCCCTGGCCTGTGCCTGGTGGACAGTCCCAGCGGGGTGGGCCTGTTCCACTCTTGTCTCTCAGTTCCCTTCCAGAAAGGAAACCAAAGAACCTCCAGGTGGTTCTGTAGATAGGGTGTGGCTGTGGGTACAAAGTGAGGGCGACGGAGGCAGTGAGTCTCGGGAGTGGGGAGAAGCGGCCGGGGTGTCCCTGGCACCTGATCCCTCTGCTCTGGGTGGCGATAGTTGTCCGGAGGCTGAGGAGATGCGTCTGGCTCTATGCCTCTCAGGCCAGGCTCTGTGCGAGAAGTCCTTGCCAAGGAGGTCAGCAGAGACACTACCCACTGGCTGCTCTGAGTGCCTGGTGTAAGGACTGGCCCTTGTCTCCAGGTGATCACAGTGGTCTCCTTCCTGCACGGCTCTGTTCTCTTTGTCCCACTCTGATCCTCCTTCCCTGTCCCGAGGGAAGCTGGCACTGCTGCCTGTGAAGGCCTAAGACCCCCGAGACCCAGAGGAAAGAGGTCTCATAGTGGAATGGGAGGTACCAGGGAAGGGTACAGGCTGCTTGCTGCTTGTTTGCTTGGGAACCTTCACCTGAGAGAGACAGAAGCCCACCTTAGTGTTGGGTCCATTCTTCCAGGAAGCGCTGGCCTGGGGACTCCACTGCCTACTGTCCAGCCTGTCCTACTGCAGCAGGAGGCAGGGAGCCTGGGTGTCCTTGGGAGTCACATGTAAGGAAGTCACATGTAAGGAAGCTTGTCCTACTGTAAGAACCTGGGATTCCCAGGAGTATGTATGCCTTACTGCTTCCCTATCCCACAACTGGCATCTTAGGAGTATTTAGGAGTCCTGCCTGGCAGTAGGGAAGGAGGGCCTGGGAAAATCAGGCATTAGTGTTAGGCCTGGATGTGCTATCCCAGCACCTGCCCTGCTCAAAGCGCCCCACGGCTGGTGGCGAGGCCCCGGGCCCTGTGCTCCTAGTGCCACCTGTAGCAGCCCAGGCTGGCACACAAATCCAATGAGGAGATGCCACCCTAATAGTCATGATTCTTCCCCACCTGCAGGCTGCATGGTCATCCCCTCTGTAAAATGGAGGTAACTTTGTGGTCACTTGACGAAAGTGGCAGCGGAGCCCATGACCTCTCTGAGCCCTCTCCCTGGTCTGACTCCATGGCTGGGTCACTGAGTAGTGTGGCCTGGGTGTCAGCAGAGATCCCTGGTTCTACATGGCTTTTCTGTTAGTCTGGTGAAGACAGCTGCTTTTAACCACAGATGTTTGCACAGGGTCCTGAGAGGTGCGAGGGTCCCCACGCAGACCCACCCTGTCACCATCAAGAGCCAGGAGGCCTGGGGTTTACAACCAGCTTAGACAGAGGCCCAGAGCCACTGGGGAAAGAGGCCTGGACTTCAGGTGCTGGGAGGTGGCACCCTGGGGGGGGAGCGGGAGGCCAGCTGCGGGGAAGGGAGGCTTGTCATGCATCCTGCGGAGCTGGGGCTGGGAAGCAGCGCGAGTGAGGCTTTTGAACTCTGGAACAAAGACCTCGTTGTGATGCCTCTGGCCTGGGACAGGTGGGTGTGTGGAGGCGTTTCCAGTGGCATTGTTGGGGCAGCAGCCCTAGTCAGCGCCTCCTGGGGCTTCCACGGGTGCCAGCTGTCTTCCTGGGTGCCTTCTCGCTTAGCTAGGAGCCTCTTGATGGAAGGGCCGTGCCTGCCCATCCGTGCCCCACACGTGTGGCAGTGCACAGGCCTGCTGTCTCCACTCTCGTCTTCCTAAAGAGACGCAGCTGGAAGGTGCACCAGGCCGTGCATTTCACAGAGCGCTTTCGCCAGAATCATGGACCAGCCCATGCATAGAAGGCATTCGAACCATTTTTGACTGCAGAAATAGGCAAGAAGTTAAGTAATTCTCCTTAGAGTGGAAACTTGAAGGTCTGTCTCCAGTCCAGGGCCCTGGGGGATCCTGAGAATGGCTGATCTGGGGCCAAAAGTCCAGGAAGCCTGCAGTGGTGCTGCCGCAAGCTGGGCCCCTGGCACCCTCCTGAAGGGCGTCTCTGCCCACTGTGGGGCTGGTCGGTGGTGGCCGTTCCTGCTGTGGCCTGACCTTGTAGTGTGGAGGCAGGCCGCAGGCGAGAAGCTTGTGTGAGGTGACACGTCCCCTGCTTGAGATAAACCTGTCTATCGCAGGGAACCCAGAGGAGCAGAAGCAAGCGGCACTCAGGGCGGACCTGAGCAGCTCAGGAGGAAGGTTTGGGAGCACAGTCAGGAAAGGGCTCTTTCTGCCCTCCATTGCACAACAGGGCTGCTCACAGCTGTGTGGCTTTTGCCACCCATCCGGTCATGCCAGGGCACGCAGCACCCTGTGGCCCGGCCTGGGGAAGCCTCACCTGTAACATGAGCAGCACTACCTGAGCTGCCTCCTTCATAAGATGTCCTCCCCCACCCCCCGGGCTCACTGGTCTAACGTCGCAGGGAGTGGTGGCAGGGCTGTGGCCGCTCCCTTTTCTGGTTGGACAGAGCTGTCTCCAACTTTCCAGGATTGTTTCCTCCTCCTCAGCACTACAAGCCAGGGCAGGAAGCAGGGAAATGAGTCAACAGAATTTTTCCTGCCTCAGCTTTCCTGCTAGGAGTCTCTGCGTATTTCCTGGCTGTGGCGTGATGGCCTGAGGATTCGAACACTCCCTTGGAAGCTTGGAATTTTGAGCTCCTTTGGTCTAAGCATGTATTTTACCAGTGAGAAAACTGAGCCTTCAGAGTGCTCTCCCCTTTCCAAATCCAGTACTGCGGGCTCAGTTGGGTTGTGAGCAGAGGAAAGAAGCTGACACCATCTTGGCTCAAGAGATCATTGAAAGGACGCAGAGCTATCTCACTGGACCCGAGACTGGGAAGCAAATCCCAGCCTCGGGAGGGAGACAGGGAGGGAGACAGGAAGGGAGCAGGAAGTCAGTGCGAGGCAGGCAGCTAGTGTGTCCCCGCCCCCTTGTGGGGACCACGTGGACTGGAAGCACAGCTGTGCTCCTTGCCTAACTGTAAGCCAGCCTTGCTTCTCTTCCTGAGCCAAGACCCCAGCCTGTTTATGTGGTGCTGGTGTGTCAGTGCCAGACACTCTGCGTAACTTCTCGGTTGGGAGAGCTACCAGCAACTGACAATGACCTCCGGGTCTCTGTGTTCAAACTATGAAGTTTGAATTGAGTACATGCCTGGAGTCCCAGCTATTTGAGAGGCTGAGGCGACAGGATCACTTGAGCCTATGAGGTGGAGCCTCTGGGAAATAGAGCAAAGCCCCCCTAAAAGAAGAGAGAGAGAGAGAGAGAGAGAGAGAGAGAGAGAGAGAGAGAGAGAGAGAGAGAGGGGTTTGAATGTGAGTGGTTCCCAGCCATGTGGTGGGTTAGCACACCTCAGAGCAGATTCAGCGCTGGTCCGGTCAGCTGTGTTGAGGAAAAGCCTCATACGGTAAAGGGTGCCTGCCTAGCTGACCTTGGCTGTTGCTGTTGAGAGCAGGTTTTAAAGACATGCTCAAGGGTGGGGTGTTAAGATACCCAAAATCGTGGTGGCTCAAACCACTTACTTGTTTGGCAACTCTTATCTGCTGCAAAGCAAGCAAAAAATAAGCAAAGAATTTGGAATTCAAATGTCAGATGTAAGATCTGTGCTGTGAGCTGGGGCTGGAGTTCAGTGCTTTGCTAGTGCTGTGCAAAGCCTTGGTTGGATCCCAGCACCATGGAAAGAAAAGAGAGGAGTCTACTGGTACCCGTGCACCTCGGCAGAAGAGCACTTGGTGTCCTCCTGGGCGAGAGGGGCTGGTAATGTATGCCATACAAGTGTTTGCCTTTTTTAAAAAAATTTTTTTTTAATTCATTCATTAATGTATTTCACAATTTTTTTTTTTTTTTTTTTTTTTTTTTTAAGGAAGGAAAGGTTTATTTAGCTCACAGTTACTGGAGGTTTCAGCGCTTATTCTACTGAGCTATCTCCCCAGCCCTTTCACAGTTTTTGAACATTTCCTTTTGTCCCAGGCCCTATGCTGATTGGTTATACACCCTCTACGAATCGTAGTCTAATTTCTATGAGCACCCCGGTCCTCGTAGCTGGGACTGTGGGACTGTGTCTTGAAGGTGGGACAGCTTTCCAGACTCCAGGTCTCAAGGGGGCTCCTAGGCTT